TTTAGAAGCATTTCCACAAGGCAATTATCTTAATCAGTCTCATAATCTTTGTTGGATTGTTCATTAGCACTGAAGGCGTAATGAGTACGTTTCCTCAAGCAGTTTTCATTAAAGAATCATAAGTCAAAAAATTAACTACGAAATCTTTATTTAATAAAATAGGATAATTTTGCTTAACTTAAGCATAACAAAAAAGTAATAATCTTCACAGACATTAAAACACTGAATTATCGAAAAGGAGATAACTTACATAGAATCATCATCAGTCCTAAATATCAGGCTTACCTATTTTAGGCAATAAGAAAAAAGAAAAACAGGAACATACGTAGACATAGTACCTGAAAAGAGAAAGTACTAAACGAATACACTTCACGTAGCTAAGGTGAAAGTCAAATATACTGTATTGCTCACGAACTTTACTTTCTCTCACCAATATATATCTTGGCGCACGTTGGTTTCGTATTCCTTTCGAGTTTCATTATGCAATATACTTAAATTTATGCTAACAGTACTTAAGAACAGAATAAACGACCCTTTTTTCTAAAGCGAGTTATGAAACTGGTTTAAAATGGATTCAGAAGAGATTTGTGGCAACGTACCAAAATGAAGCATTTTAATCTCCAACGCGCGAGACTGTTGCCACTCGGAAAAATGACTGCGAAAACGACCGTTTTCAGAGTTTTTAATGATTATTTCGGCTGATTAAATTGGTACGAAAATAAGAATAGTCGAAATGAATTTTCTGAATCGGAATTAATAATTTATTTATAATATTTAATGTCTGGGAATGCTATTTTTACTTCCTTGTACGAAGTAAAAAGGAAGTATAGTAATCGCGAAACGTTTCAGGCAGCATATTTCAACGAAACTATCCATTTTGTTTGCCCGCTATCGAATGCTAAACGAGGTTTTTGCGTGACGTCCGTATGTAAGGACAGAATAAAAGACTCTTTTTCTCCAAAACAATTATAAAACTGCTTTTTAAAATGATTTCCGAAGATAATTTGTTCTGGTGTCTGTACATACGTACACGTATGTATCTCGCAAAACTCAAAATGACTAGCCTCAGAACGTTGAAATTTTGTATGTGTGACTGCTATAACATGTAGATGAGCACCTCCCTTTTTTTGTTGCAATCGGTCGCACCAAAAGTATATAATGTATATATATATATATATATCCACTCTGTTTTCAGCTTGATGAGCTCAGTTTCTTTATTCTTACATGTTTGTAATTATGTAGGTTTTGCTTTAAAAGTGATTGAATTATGTTGTTCTTATCTTCTGGTTAAGATTTTTATGTTTTTATGCCTTTAGTTAAACCTGTATGTTATAGTTGTAAAATTATCAAACAATTTAAAAGTTGTTTAAAAACCCCATAGCAGCCATATTTGTTTACATTTGAACTTAACAGAATAGTGGATATGTTGCTAATCTGGAGAAACTAAGCTTCACAAACAACAAAGTAATGTCTTCTTTTATCATTACGAATTATATTATGCTTAAATCCATTCTCGATTATCGTTTAAGTCAATAAAATTATCCCTTATATTGACTCAGCATAGCATCCATAACAAATTAGTCAGTTTCTAACTACGCTAGTCCTTTGGCCGCCGAATGAGACCAAAAGTAAACTTTCAGTTTTGTGCACTGAAAAATCTGACTTCTTGCCCGCTCCCGAAGGCTTGTTTTTTGCATTAGGAACTGTGATTTTAATAGTAAAAAAAAATTAATAGTTTTACTGTGTTTGGTGTTTTATGTTTTTCTAATGAAACTCATAGCTCAAAGACCTCTCATAGCGTCAGAACTTTTTTGCACATGAACTGATATGTATCTGTGTTGTTCTAATTGGCCGCACGCATATGCATATATATGGGATATAATGTGTGATTAGAAGCAGAGTGGAAAGCATGATGAAAATAATTAGCAAAAAGAAACATATGGTGATGAATAGCACAATCTTTATTTTTCAAGATCAAAATGATCCTTTTTCAGATAAGAATATATTTGAATACAATAAATTGCATTTTTAATTAGAACGTCATCTTAAGTAAGCAGCAGCATGTGTGAAAAGCGTCTTGTCGGCAGAAAGCTCGCAGGAAAGGGGAAAAGGGAAAGGGGGAAGGTTATACTTTCATAGCAAGAAGGCTGAAGTTCAGTTCCAGTTTTGGTGTAGAATTAATTGATTGGACGAGAGGCATCTGCATTAAAACACAATTTCATTACATAACATAGAAAAGTCTGGAAACTGCGAGAAGAGATGAATTTAGGGCCAGATCATCAAATTTAGAATGTTAATTTTGAGGTCGTCATATTTTTTTTGAAACAGCTGTCATATTTTGGCTTATATATATATATATATATATATATATATATAGTATATATATATATTTATATTTACTAAAGAAATATTGATTATATTATCTCCTAAGATTATTTTCGTAGAATTATCTTAAAGAGTGAATCCATAGTTAGTAAATTCAATTCCAAAATTGTTTTAAAGTAACTTAAATACAAATTGTTAAAAATGTTTAACGGGGACTTGAATTAAATCATGAATAACAAAATTTCAATTGTAAGCGAATAAATTAAAAGCAAGTAATTATTGCCATTGATCGAAAATTAGTTGACTTTTCAATGGGAACAAACTAACTCCCGTTCAATGAACATAATTAAGAAATAAATACGAAGGTGTTTCGTCCTTTACTCAAGTAATAAGGCGATGCCAAACCCGCAATTCAAGCTAGGCCAAATATTTCCGTGAATATAAGGGATCAAGAACCAATACAGAGCACCAAAGAACTATTCCGATTAAGCATTTTCGCTAATTCAATTTTGAGTGAAAAGCAATTTCTGCAGTAAAATGATAAATTACTCGAGTAATTGTCCCCCGACACCTTCGTGGTTTATGCATTTTAATTAAAAACTTTTGTAAAAATTAAACATTGGAAAATTGGCATTATGAAATAGAACTCAAAGTAATTGAAATAAACATTAGAAAATTACGAATATAAGAAATATAATGCAATCTTTGCAAAAACAAATAAAAAAATAAAAATTTAAATTTAAATATATATATAATAAAAAAGAGAATGTACATGAAGATAGAAAATATAAAAGGCCAGAAATAGTATTAATTAACTTACGTTCCTTTCTAGTGGGAAGTGTGGGCAAAGTGTTTTACAGTCAAAAGTTGTTAATTCGGACACCCATAATCCGGAATGATCTATAATCCGGACCTCAAAGCTACAAACTTTATGCTCATGCGTCATGTTGACGCATGTGCGTAAGACCTTTACGGCTGCGAATATGCGTGTGCGCGTGCGCAAATACGTTTACGAATGCGCGTTAATGTATAACGGACGGTATAACGGATAAGCTAAGCTAAAATTATCTAATTCAATTAATGTTGCAGATTGCGTTTTTCCTTAATCTTCGAATTGGATTCGGCTTATTATTTTTTGCAGACTGTTAGAGCAATTTTATAAAAGTAAGCTTGAACTTTCGATTATGTCAAATAGAATTTCTGATATATATTTACTAATATGTAAAGGATCTACAAAGCGAAAGTATGTTTCGAAGTCGAAGTATCTTTTCGAAAGTATGTTTCGAAACAAAAAGTGGAATTCCTGCAAAAAATGGATAAAGGCATATCCTTTGTCTATCTAAACTTTAAAGTTTGTTTATCTAAACTTTGTTTATCTTTAACGCCGCGGCGCGCAATGAATTGGAAGTTGATCTGTCAGCAGTATCCTTATTTCAGGGCAGATGTTTTTATTTTATTTGGCTTATAATTCCTTACTAAATGTAGTATTTCATCTCGATGTACTCCGTCTTTGGTATGATTTAGATCAAATTCCTCGTCATTATAATTCGCTTCCGATAGCGAAGAAAGTGGTAGAGGTTATTGAAAACGAAAAAATTTCGATTGACAAATTAGTCGGTATTCTCGACACAGCAATTAAAGAACTTGAACAGCGGAACTTTGTAACTGAACAAGAAATTATGTCTGTTTATAGAATTAAAGAGCATGTATTATCACATAAAAAACGAAGCAACTTAAACAACTTGCATTGAAACAAATGTTTAATAAAGCAAACAAATAAATATTAAGCATTTTTTTTTTGTAAATTTTGATACCCTTTAGCTCATAATTGTTCTTTATTACATAAATTACGGTTTCATATTTTTAATTTTATAATTTCTGCATGCCATCTTACCAGATTTAAACTGATGATCTATAATCCGGAAAAATCGATAATCCGGAATTGCCGAAGTCCCGACGAGACCGGATTAACGACTTTTGACTGTATATACTATATATTACACTGCATGGTGAAGTCAGTTTTTTTATACTTATATGTTGTTAAATTGTGCATTTTTTGCTTTAAACGTGACTTAATTATGTTGTTGATATGCTGCGGTTAAGGTTTTTATGCCATTAGTTAACCTGCATGAAATAGTTGTAGAATTATTAACAATTTAAAAGTTTATTTGACACTAGCCTAACGAGGTTGTCATTTGTTTACATTTGAAACTCTTATTAGAACAGTGAATTAATTGAGTGCCTTTTTTCCCAGTGTAGCCAAAAGTTAGCTTTCAACCCTGTGCACCGAAAATTTGGCCTTCAGGCCCGTTAGATTCGATGAAATAATTTTATAAAGTGCAGCAAAAAATATTTATAATTTAATAAGGCCATACAGAGAAGTCATAGATGGAGGGTGGTCAGAATGTAATGGATCTTTGGTGTATGATAACATTTGATAAAATACAGAAAGAAAATTTTAAAATGATATTGCAAATGGCTGCGGTTATTTATATTTTCAGTTATCTAACGTAACATAGATTTGCATAACCTCACATAATTTCAGAATTCTGATATACAGGGTAGTAACAAACTTGTTGACGGATACTCACTTGACGGATCACCGGCACGATGCTCTTGAATTCACTGCCAAATATTCATAGAAAATAATTATTTCTGATTTCTTTCCATATTAGGCAAGGGCCTTACACTGGTATCAGCTGTTCTTGATGGAGAATTTACGAAGAGATACAGCGAAGCCCAAGCTGCCAAACTGGTAAGAAGCACTATCTTGAAAATTATATAGTATTTGCATTAATGTTCAAGTTCTCATTATAGTTTTAGTGTACTTGCAGTTTTTGAAGCTATTAACAAGTGAATCTGAAATGAAATTGATTGAAAAGTTTGAATTGATTTAACTAAATTCAGTGAAAGGCTAGACCGAAGCTGATGAATTTTTAACATAATTATAGCTAAAGAAAGAAGGCCTGGTGGCGCAGTGGCTAGCGCGTCACACAGCTGCACCATAGGCCGGGTTCGATCCCCGGGCGCATATTTCACAAGTGCACATCTGTGTAGCCACCGAGGGAATGGCTTCTAGGATGGACCAATTTGCATCTAGTAATATTTCTCTCGTGTCACATGACCTTTCCCGTGTTTTAAGATTTAAGATAAGATGGCTGAAAATATTCTGCCGTGCAGTTTTGTGTACAAAATAATTAAAGCATCGTCGAATTCTTCTGAAAATTTTCATTGCAAAGTTAGATCAAATATAAGCAATTGGGAAGATTTCACTACCTAGTTGAAAGAATTTGAAATAAATACAAACACATGTTGGATACTCTGCAAAACTATCCATGTGAAATATTTACTTAATAAGTCGTAAATAAGAGGAAGAAAGAAATATGTGATAAACATCTGAGCCCAAATGCTATCTTTACATAAAACTATGCGTATGAAAAAAAATATTTAAGCTAGAAGTCAGCAACATTTTTTTTTCAGTCTATATGAAACAGATGCTCTATAATAATAGCCAATGCAGAATTTTATTCAAAGTGAACTTGACTAATTTGCATTCGTATACACTTAGTGTGTTAAATTTCACATTTAATAACTGCTCACTCTTAAATGCGCTGTCTACACAAGAAATACTCATCAAACAGAGTGAACTTATTCAGAAAGAATATATTCAATTTATTCACATATAACTTTTATTGTTAACAATGGATATAATCAGGTCATACACAATATGTATTCTGAATCTTACACTTTCATAATCAAAAGAATGCAAGCACTAAAATAAGAAAACACTAGATTCATTGTAACACTTCCAGTTCTTCTCAGCTCAATTAAAAAAACTATACACTTGAATTCTCTTAATCCACAGGTGTTAGTAAATGCATAATATTCGAGGCTAACTGAAGCTTGAGTCATTTTCTGGATGTAAAGAGCTATAATATGCCGTGAACATCAATCCAAATATTAATGCGTGATAAAAAATCGTAAAAGTGAAATGTCAGCGATTAATTAAACTCATAAAACGAAAGCACTACGAGATTTTCTACTATTACGCCATACATTCATAGCTGCGAAGCAAATGCGAATTAAAAGATAAACAACATACGCTTACATGCACGAAGATTTCACAAGAGAAATTGAAGCTCATTGGTCCATTTTCGAAACCCCTCCTTCAGTTACTACGCTGATGTGCACTAGTGAAATATGCTCCCCAAGCTGGGCAAGGTTGACTCAGCCTTTCATCCCTTGAGTGGGTCGATAAAAATGAGTACCAAGTTCGCTTAGTGACCAAACACTGGAAGTCCTGTGACAAGCTCACCACTTGTCCAGGGCGGGTCCGTGACACTTAGCCGAAAACCACTTAGCCGACGGGACACTTAACCGACACCAGTTAGCCGACAAGGACACTTAGCTGATAGGTCATTTAGCCGACACGGACAGTTAGCCAACAGGACATTTAGCCGACACGGACAGTTAGCCAACAGGACATTTAGCCGACACGGACACATTTAGCCGACAAGGACACTTAGCCGGCAGGTCATTTAGACGACATGGACAGTTATCCGACACGGACACTTAGCCGACAGGACATTTAGTCGACGGGACATTCAGCCGACAAGGACACTTAGCCGACAGGTCATTTAGCCGACATGGACAGTTAGCCGACAGGACATTTAGCCGACACGGACAGTTAGCCGACAGGATATTTAGCTACGGGACAGTTAACTGTCAAAACATTTTGTCAACAGGACTCTAAGCCGACAGTGATGTTTAGCTGACGCGTACCCAATAATTATTTAAATTTACAATCAATTACAAAATATCTCGACTTCTCCATAAGTTCAATATCTAAGTTATTTTTTTCACCTATCAGTAAAATTCAGTTTTCGATTCTTGAAGATCTTATACATGCTTTTAATTATTGTGTTAATTTAGCATTGTTTGTTATGTATCGTGTTGCTTGGTGTATATTGGCCAAATTGAAAAAGCGCTGAAATTTCTCGTCAGGGAATATAAATTAAATTTCGAAAGGAAAAAGAATTTTTTTAGATAACTACAGCGGTCACTTAACTACATTTTAACATGTGATCTTCAAAAATTATCCATAAAGCTTCTGTTATTTTTTTTATTTAATCAACTTTCACATCATTAATAATTTTTCTTGTTTGCTTAATGATATTAATTTTCCAATCTCGCTCTTCCAAATGCTTTCAAATTTCTAATATCTTTACGTTACATTACTATTTTGCTCATCACATCGTGTTACATTCCTTCCCTTAAAAAATCGTTTGGCTCCTCCCACTAATGAAATTTCCTTTCCCTGTCATGAAAAATCTGAATAATGCAATAAAATTACTGTCATTCTTGAATTATACTTTTTTATAGAAACATATGGCAGTGAGGGTTAGTTTAGAAATATATTTTGTTTTGTTAATAAAAACAATTAAAAAAAGTGAATTTTTAAGACCAGCAAAGGTATAAATTATTTGCGACCTCTATAATTAGCAGTTCATGCCACCATCCTCAAAACTCATAAATTTTGTGCATTCTGACATAATCTCTAGAATAACTCATGAGAGAACTCTATCAAATTCCGAAATAGAAAAACCAGCTCAAAAAAAGTAAATTCGAGGAACTAAACCCTGAAGACAATATGGAAGCAGAGGAAGGTGAATTTATTGCACCCAGCAAAAAAGCAGGACACATTCCCCCTATAGTGTTAGCAGACTTCACGGGGGATTGGAATAAGATGAAAGAAGATTTTGAAGAGCAATTAAATATAAAAAAATATCGTGGAAACCTAAGTGGAGGTACACTGACCATAAGAGCTTATGACTCAGACCACTACCGCACAATTACTGAATACCTAACTAAACTACATATCGTTTTTCATAACTTTTATTGCATTATTCAGATTTTTCAGAACGGTCTACTCCTACTACGCTGAAGACAGCAGCCAGTTCAGTCTAGCTTACGATGTCTCTCCAGTAACTGCGCTTCGTAACGCAAAATGAATGATCCCACCTCACAGCGGATTCTCGCACGGTATTCCTACAAGCAAAGTTATGCCTATACAGTATCCGCCAAATCACTATAATTGCTCCCTACGAATATAATTGCTCATTACCTCCTACTTCGATAAAATGGTATCTGAATGCTTTGCATTTAAATCTCCTGAACTTAGTGATAGCACAGAAAAAGGTTATGCTCAGTAATTTCACTTGCTATATACAGGGTAAGGCAATGGCTGGATACCTACATGTGCGACTGCGTCGCTTCATAGGACAGGGAAAGGAATTTCATTAGTGGGAGGAGCTAAACGATTTTGTAAGGGAAAGAATGTAACATGATGTGATGAATAAAATATTATGAAGTGTAAATATTAGAATTTGAAAGCATTTGGAAGAGCAAGATTGGAAAATTATTATCATTAAATAAACAAGGGAAATTATTAATCATGTGGAA